TTCCCTCAGGCTATAAGTCTCTGTTGCAAGATAAGGATTGTGGTACAGCAGGTTGCTGGCTGAAAGACAGACTAGTTACTGATTGTTATGTAAAGATACTGAGAATTGCTATATGAAGGAATGTTTGCTAAGGTCAAGCTTGTGTTGATAAGACCACTTAATTGTCTTATTGGAATGTCATCTGGCTTGTTTCACTGAGAGTTACCAGCCTATGTTGTTAAACTATAACCCCACCTTTGTTCTCTTCCTGTAACTTCCTGGTCTGGAAAATAAATGCAGGAAGAGAACCCCAATTCAGCATTAATTTCCCAAGGAAGGGATCCCTTTTGCTTGAGGGTTTTAGAGGGAGATTAACCACTTTGGGGCCTCTCTCTGCTCAGTAGAGACGGCTTTGAGTAATCCTTTGCATCTCCATCACCCAGGGCAAGCGGGGTGACAAATCCGTGGGGGGAAAAGCAACGCAAAGCAACATACCTCCAATTGGACAACCAGTCAGCAGCTCTAATTCAACATAATAAAACCACCTTCTTTTCCAAATTTTCCCTCCTCCTGACTTTCCTTATTTCTGGTGATGACATTCTCATTCTCCCTATTACTCAGGCTCAACACTTTTCCTCCCCCTCTTGCCCACTCAAAAAATTCTACTAGCCAAACTCTTCCACCTATTTATTCCTCTCTTCTGTTTTTCCATCGTCACTAACCTGCCTAGGTTAGAGTCTCACATTTTTTAATTTAAATTAATAGGCTCCTAACTGAACTTCCTGCCCCTAATTAGAAATTCACTTCATTTATTGAATTCTACATACTCTTCAAAGTTTATCTCAAATGTCACCTGTCTAATAAATTCTTTCAAAATGTTCCTGACTTGAAATGTTCCCTTGAATCTCTCTGAATCTTTTTTCATTCTCCTCCCACGACTTGTCAGAACTACATCCTGATTATGATTACTTCTATGTTACTTACCACCAAAGTAGTAAATAAGCTTCTTAAGATTGGGGGGAGGGGGGAGTTATGTGTTTGCTTTGATTTTTCTGCTTTTATATTTACTTAATTGGGGTGGGGGGAAGGACTCATTCATCTTTGTGTGCCTAGGACAATGGCCTATAAATAGCAGGCAAAGTAACGTCTGAGGATTTTGATCACGTCCCTGGTGCTTACTCACCTGTTCCTGTTGCTGCTTCGCCAGCTCCATTTGCTGGCGCTGTTTCTCAATCTGAGATGCAGCCAGTTTCTTCTGCTCATCATGCGCTGCCAATAGCTGCTCTCGCAGACTGGTCAGCTGATTGATCATACCCATGAGTTGCCTCTCTTTCTCAGCTAGGCTTTCAGGAGTCCCTGAAAACAATATGGCAATAAAACACACAAGAAAAGAGAAATGAGAAGGGGGTGATGTTTCCATGACAGTGGCTCTTTTGTATAGAGAACTAGTCCACATATAAGGTTCAACACATGTAAAAAGATAACCTACCTTCTTTCAGATATTCACTTGGCAGTAAAAAGTGATGTGGCTATTTACCCATTAAAAATATCAGAAAGGCAAACATTTTGATTGTTTTCTATTCATGGCAAGTTAGCCACACTGAATTTTCTACTATTAGCCCTCCCACCCCAGGCTGTTGCAAATGTCATCCTTCATAAGTGCCTTGTCCATGACATTCCCTCTCTAAACATACATTCTTTACATTCTAACTCATGTATCTTGACAGTGTGGCTCTTTTCCTGATTTCCACTGATAAAAGTTTTTCCTTCTTTGGGAATCCATGCGCTGCATGTCTTTATTACAGTACTTAGTCATTACATTGTATTATCTTATTTTTACTTTTTTCTCCCAAAGTCAGGAGTGGCTCTAACAGCAAAAATTGTACATTATTGACTTTTATATCTTCATTACCTACCTGACATATAACAAAACATCTAATATTGTTTAGCAAGTGACAGAAAGAATAAAGCCCCTTCTCTTTAAACCACTCTGAAGTTTAGGCATGCCATATAGTCAAGAGAAAAGGGAAGATGTTTTATCTTTTATGAATTGTATAGGGATTTTAGTTTTGGCTTAAGAGAGGTGAGCCAAGGGAATCAAGCTTCTGTAAAAGAAATAGTCCCCATCCTATAAAAGTACAAAACTAATATGAAGAAGTAAGCACCATGGTTTTACCTCTAAATTATCATTTTCTTTGTAATGATCCTCAAGAGGGTAGAGAAGACTCAATAAATAGTCTGTGAAACACTGGAGAAATTAGTAAGAGTCACAGAACATCATAGACATTAAAAAAGCAAAAACAATATTAACTAGATCCTTGGAAAACCTCAGAGGCCTCTTCAAAAAAAAAGAGCTTCTGTTTACCTAGATTCAGATTTTTTAGAGTTACACAAGTGTACAGTACTATGGAGGCATAATAACATATGTATGGACTATTTCTGTAGGACTCAGATAGCTATGGTGTAAGTTTATTGTGTGTGTATGTTATTGAGAGTTATTTATTTTTATGATTTCATTACTTGTAGTATTGTGTGTTTTACACTATGCTAGTCCTGGTTCAGTCCCCTTGGAATGAAGAATTGCTGAAGTAAGAGACAAAAATATTCTGTTTCATTTCTTCCTCTTGCCTAATAACTTTAGGCATGGCAGTCATTTATAGTTCTGAAGGTTCCATAGAAGCAGCACAGGTTAGAACATTCCTTAATACAATGTTACAGAAGTCACAATGGAAGGGAACCAGTTTCAGTCACCCCCGTCTCAGTAAAAGATACCACCATTCATACATTGCTTGGACAAAATCCAGGTGTTCTATTTCATTCTTTTGTCTGCTTCATCTTCCAATACATAATTCCTTGGAAATCTTATTAACCTTAGAACATATTATAAATCAGTCCGTGTATCTTCATTTCCACTATTACCCTCTAATCCAGGTCATTATTTTCTCTTGCTTTGACTATCACAATAGTTTTCTAACCATTCTACCTACTTCTCCTGCTACAATCCACACTCCAAATATTCAGAGGGACCTGCTTAGAAAAGTAAGTCAAATCCTTTCATACCCCTGTATAAAACCATTTCATAGCTTTATACCACACATGGAATAAAATCCAAACTCCTATGCCTACAAGGCCCTGAGTGGTGTGGCCTTTGCTATCTTCCCAGGCATCATCTTTTCCTATTTTCTCTTTTTCCCAATATGCTTCCTTGAGCTCCTCTATTACCAATACGTAAACTTGCTCCCTCCATAGGGTCTTTGCACGTCAACTGTTTCCTTCAGGAAAATCTTCCCTTAGTTCAGGAAGGGGAAGACTTCTCTTAACCTCTGCACAGTTTACATTTCGGGCCAGACCATTATTTTTGCGGGGAGATCTCTTGTGTAGTACCTCTGTCCTCGATCCACTAGATGCAGGTATGACAACCCACCTGTAGTTATAACAGCCAAAAATGTCTCTAGACATTGCCAAATTTCCCCTGGTAAAGCAAAATCATCTGCAATCAAGAACTACTTCACATGACTGGCTTTTTTCCTTCATTCATTCAGCATATGTGCACAGAGCACCTCCCGTTTGCCTCACACTATTTCAAGTATTGGGATATCACAAGCGTAAGCCATAAAAGAATACCTGCCTTTATAGAGCATAAATTTAAATGGAAGAGATAATATATAAATAAATTCAATCAGGTTTTCAGATAGTAACTTAAAGGCCAACTCCTAAGAGGGTCTTCCTTGAACACTGAAATTATAGAAATTGCCACACCTCATTTCTATCACATCACTCAGTTTTAATCTGTTCATAGTAGTAGTTAGCACTACATGTTATAGTCTTAGTGACAGTTATTTTTATACTGTATGTCCCAGTAGAGTAAGTTTATTTTTTGTATTTCCCAGCAGAGTATAAGCTACATGATAATAGGATACTAATTTGTTTTGTTCAGCACTGTATCCACAGAATCTATAGAATAATGCCTTGCACCTAGCTGATTCTTAATAACCACTTGTTGAATGAATAAAATCAATAAACTTAAGGACAGAGAAAAGTCCTTGATTAGCTGGTACTGCAAAATTCCATGCAGAACGATAGCCCTCATCAGAATTACTTAAATTAATAAGAATGATCTCAAATACATTGAAATAATAAGAAAAAATATATGGAAGCAGATATTTTCCCAATCTTGTTTTAGTCTATCCAAATGAAATAGATATATGGCTTGAAATCACATCATCAAAATCAGTGTAAACCACTGGGAACCAAATCAAGGAAAGGTAAAAGTAAACTCATTCAAGAAGGGAAAAGCCCTACAATTTTAAAGCCCAAAGAAAACTAGAGATTATGTTTCTTCCCACAAAAAACTACCAGAAACTTAATTCTCTCTTCCAAAGCAACAGTCATTGCCAGTATTTTCCTTTTGTTTTATTATTTGTGTTTCTTAGACTATCAGAGCTGCAATTTGAATAGAATGGTTATTTTGTTTAATTTCTTTTTAATGGAAATGTTGTTGCTTTCAACTGGTATTCCCCTTGAAGCATCTAAAAATCATTCATTGAGTTACCTTTAAAAATTCTGCATGATAAAAGAATTACTACTTTACTATAAGCTCTAGGAGGGCAGGAATCTGTCGCTGTATTTGCTACCACTGCATTTCCAGAGCTAGAACATGCTAAGACAGACAGCAGCATTTGTGGAATAAACTGAAAATATAATGAAGACAAACAAACAAGTTATTCTAAAGTTACAACTAAAGCTTCTTTTAGCAGCACTCTTATCCAACAATAGGGAAAACACAGACCTCTCATCAAAACGGACGAATGGAAATAGCATTAATCTTGGTCTTCAAAGGAATAAATGCTAGGTTATCCAAACTGCAAACATCTATAAATTGGTTTTTTATTAAGAAAGAATTTAATCAGACTTTGATAAAATTTAGCTACATAATTTTTTACTGAAATATAGATATTCCTCAGAATTTGAAATCCATTAAAATTATATTAGGAATACTATAGTTTATTAGATGGCTGAGTATAAATTAATTGATATCTTCTTATACAATGCTAATACTGTAAGTATTCTTACCTTTTTTCTAGATATTTATCATTTCTTTTGAAAAAATAGTGTCGTTTTTCCTTTAATACCCTAAAAGGTAGGTCTTGGCATAGATTTAAGTATGTCTACTATAGAAAGCTTTCAATTTTAAGGGTGACATCCATTAGAGTGAAATGAAACACTTGACGAACAGCTACAATCTTTACCATTGTTGCTCCATTGCTGGATGTTTTGTTTCTGGGACATTATGAAAGATGTGTGTACCATAATCTCTGTAGTAAAATCAAGGGTCATTTTTGCTACCTTTTTAAAAAGTATGGTTCTCACAGTGGTGCACTGGATTTGCAGAGGGAGAGAACATAGCTTGGGATACAAAGTGGAGTTGGGGGGTATAGGGGAAGGGGCAGGAGGTTGGGGATATTTGGGTGGGGACATAGGGTAAAATCGCAATTTGTGGTAATGGGCACATTGCCAGTATGGATCTGGCCTTCACATCTTGGGCACAAGGGGTGCCAATCAGCTTTGTATCTCATGAATATTCATAACCCAAATAAATAAATAAATAAATAAAAGTATAACATAAAAATATGTTAATAAAATACAACATATTTTATTATGAACTTTTACTTTTTAATGGAGATTTGTAATTATAGAAACTTTTCCCAGGACTATTCCATACACTGACGTATCGTGCTTAAAATATAAAAATTATTTTTTTTAAACAATCACATTAAATTTGCTGCATTTGTAGCAAATTTAGTCAATAATAGCCATCTCACAATACAGCATTTTTCATTTGTCATTCAAATATGTACTGGGTTCCAAACTTTAGGCCAGTGGTAAATTAGGTAATTTACAGAAGGAAGACTTTCATTTCACTCCAACAATATAGAAGGGTGTTAGTGTGCTAGGGACAAATTTAAACACAGTGTATCGTAGGTGCAAATTAGAGGGGTTCTTCATCTAGGTGTGATGGGTTTGGACGTGTTTTCAAGTATTAAAAGATTTTAGAGATTACTTAGTCCAATTTTATTGGACAGACTAGCAAGCATCATGTAAAAATCACAGGTTTCGAAGCCAGGCAGAAGTACATTCAAATCTTGACTCTGCCACAACTTAAGCATGCGGTTTTAGATAATCTCTCCAAGTCTCAATTCTTCATATGTAAAATCAGAATAAAATGATGTTGTCATAATAATTTTGTAAGAAAGATGTTCAGAGTGGCATGCAATAAATAGTAATCTGTGATTGTTTTAAAATGAGCAGATCAGGAAAAAAACTAAAAGACGTAACCTGACTTACACAAGTCCTTG